TTTATAAAAGGCTTTAAGTTTAACAAGAGCCTCTGGTTCTTCAATCCAGAGCTTCCAATCTAAAATCAAGACCAACCAGAGCTCCTCTGGTCTATTTTTCGTAAAAAGAATCCAAGTATAAAAACTCTCAAAATGATTTTTATAAAGGAAGTTTAATACAGAGCTCTTATTTAGAAGATGCGGAGCCTATGTATGCGGAAGCCTTATTTTAAATGCAGAGCTCTGTATCTAGCGGATACAGAGCCTTTGTACAAAAACCCAATTTTTAATACAGAGCTATGTATTTAACAAATACAGAGCTTCTGTGTGATAGACCAATTTTTGATACAGAGCTTCTGATTTTCACAACCGATTATGCAAAAACACTTGCATTGTTTTCAAACACTAACCAGACCCTTCTGGTTCTTTAAAATAAATACCAACCAAAGCCCTTTGGTTCCATGACAGTATACCCACAGCCTTTGTGGTACCTCTGGTTCAACATTATGATCAAAACCGTTTTATCCAAAATCCATGACCAAGGGCCATATTTTTCCCAATCCATAACATCAATACTATCATCTCTAATAAGAACATCTCTGAATCCTCAAATCACTAATAAGTGAGAACTCCAATCTGTTGTATCCTAAGAGACATAATAGCAATAGTTATACCATGCACACACAACGACCATCCTTATTACATCCAGAATCCCCGTCATAGCAACAGATATCACAAACCACACACGACCAACCTTATTTCCCCTGAAAATCATATGAAGTATTTCATCCAACTAACAGGCTGCAGTATTTCTGTTAGAGTGAACCTGTTTATAATTTCATCAAAATCTGGTTCCCCCCACAGGTTTATATTTCAAAACGTGATTGAACCATAAGAACACTCATGTTCTTTCCAAACAGCAATTCTGGTTCCCCCTACAGGTTTATATTTCAAAACCCGATTGAACCATAAGAACACTCTTGTTCATAAATCATGGCTGKKTAAACTCATTTAGATCCTCAAAACAGAACCATAGATCAGTCTGTTTTAAAAACACCATCTGCCTTCTGGTTACCAGAAACAGCTGCCAAAAACAGTAACAGCTTAACAGTTGTTTGAAACCAGTCTAACATCTTCCAAATTAAGATCAAAACAATTTATAC